GCGCAAAAGTGAGTCACACGACTTTCTCACTCACATCAAGATCTCATCGGCTCTTCCATCTATTGATTATTGAAATAACTGCTTATTGTTTTATTGTTGAATTCATTACGAAACAACAATAATAACAAAATAATTCTTCTTTTTTGATAATTTAAGGTAACAGAAACGACCCTTGATAAAGCAGCCGCAATCTTGACGTACCAAATCGCTAATAATATAGGTATCAGGGATGATGGATATCACACATCATCGTTAAGTAAGTATTTTACGAAATGTACAACTTTAGAACATTCTCAGTCACATTGCATTCAGGGAAAATGTCAACAGAGAAGTTGAACAAAAACAACAAACTTTATTTCTATAGCTGAAACTCAACTCACAGACTGGCAAACATAACTCTATTTTCATTATGGTCTGCATTTTACAGTCCCTTCCAGCCGAAAAAAGCAGCATTTCTTTTTATAGTTTCTCAAAAGTTCAAAGTCACATGATAGCTATTGAATTAAACCAACTGAGAACTGATGTACATCATGAATATGTAATCTCCAACTTGTATATCCTTATTCCAGGCACATGCACATGCAGTTCTGAATCTTGCCTCATGGACGGAGCTAACTTGTGAGTAAAAAAAAAACATTTGGATATTCTGTTCATCATGAGCTGACTTGATGTTTAGGGATTTCAATTTGACTCGGGATTTCCACAAAATAGTTAAAAATAACACTGATAGGAATAGAGCCAATAGTATCATAAAATACAGTAAAATAACGTGATTCTGTAGACAATTAATTTAATTTGAATTATATTACAGACTCGTTTCAACGGCTACAGAGTTTTCTGAGTGTAGTAGAAATGATTTACAGAGCGCCCTCATGAGGGGAAAGCTGAGTTGCTTATTTGATACTCCATCACAGGTATGTACTGATACAGATGAACAAATCTTGTGTGACATCGTAACTTGTAATATTATCAACCAACTTGATAGCCAAGCTTCAGTTTATCTACTGTGTGCGTGTGACTGTTAATTATCAAAGCACAGGTTACTGTATTCCTTGTCATTTGTGATATACAGTTTTCTCTCAATTTTTTAGTGTTTTAACATCAGATTTGTACTATTGATTTTGTATTGCAGGCATCCAATTACCTTTTGAAAGTTTTTTCAAATTATTCTGAATTATTAGAAACAATGATATTTATATACTGATGAACAGAGCGAACTATGAGTTTGTGCTATTGTGGTATTCATAGATAAACATGACATTTACTAGAAGCAATAACCAGAACTATCTATTAAATTGCGACAAACAGGCTCATGTACAACAAGTTATAAAATAAACCAACCAATTTTAGGTAATGTTGCAACAAGGTTATTTACAGAAATAATATTTTGATATGTTTTTAATTCTCAGTTTTACTTTGAACCTCTTTGTGGTAATGGCATTGTGGAAGCTAATGAGACTTGTGACTGTGGTGATTTTCAGGTATGTACAATGGCGTTACTCATCAGAATCATAGCATGGCATTATTGATTTATTACTCTGATCAACAGATAATAAACACAATCATAGAGATGTGAAAGCTCAGCTCTAAAAGCAGTCAATCACATTTTATTTTATGACAAAGCACTAGAGTACATGGGGATCATCAGTTATTATTGTCCCTGTTCGATAGCATGTCGTTCTCCTAAACCTAATAACATGTTTTCGGTGGTCTGGGTAGAACCCACAGCCTTCCTGATGTGAATTGTACATGTTATAACCAGGATGTATTTCTATTACAAGCATACCAAAAAATGAGAATACACTTTTTTACAATTTTTTTTCTTCTAAATAAAATACTTGTAATAGAGAAATATGTTAATCTAAGAAATAAATATTTGAATATTGCACTAATGTTTGACATTTCATAGAAAATAATTTGTGATCTAGTTATGAATAAGTGATTTCTTGTAATTTCAGACATGTGAAGATGCCTGCTGTAACGCTTCAACATGTCAGCTCAAACAAGGTGCTCAGTGTCATAGTGGACCATGCTGTGAAAATTGCCAGGTATTTATCACCATACTGTAAAATACTTTGTTTTCGCTGAAGGTATGATTCAGTGAAAATAAAATCCAGCGAATATACCGTTTTTTCTATATTTTACATTCAGCTAGTCAAATATCTAAAAATAAATTCCATACAAAACACCAAAAAAGACTTTTCACCGAAAATGAATTTCAGCTAAAATAAAGTATTTTATTTATTGCTATATCGAGAAAATCCTCATGAAAATAGTTGTAATATTAAGGCCCAAATATAAAATGTTTCTTTCTAATGAATACACATATATGTATCTATGTATGTTTTTTTTGGTATTTTTAATTGTAAATAACCATGAAAATTGTGTTTTAGTTTAATTTTCATGTTTGTATCAAATTGTATGTTTTTTCTGACAAAAATATTTTCATAAAAATCTAGATGTAGCAATATTTTATATGGGCCATATGAAAATTGATTTTCAAATTTCGTGCTGTGTTGCCATATCTGTAATTTACATGTCATTAAGAACTGAAATGTTCAGTTGGGTGGAATCACCTTTTGTAATGGCCTCCAATTCAAATCTTTTCCATGGCAACCTCATATCATCCATATTATGAATGCTTTAAAATTGTCATTAATGTTATCATACATTTATCACAAATATATTTACTTTTTTACAGCTTAAATCAAGTAATAGTATATGTCGAGAAGCCATCAATGAATGTGATGTTGTAGAGACGTGTGATGGCCAATCAGCTGAGGTAAGATAGCAGAGAGTAGACATGCA